CTTACCATTTGCAACAGCATGGATGGAACTGGAGAGCATTATGCTAAGCGAAATAAGCCAGTCAGAGAAAGATAAATATCACATGAACTCACTCATTTATGGAATATAATGAACATAAGAAACTGATGAACAACAACATACCCAGAGACAGAGAAGCATGGAACAGACTGTCAAACCTCAGAGGGAAGCACAGACAACAGGGGGGTGAGGGCATGAGTGGGGGGTAGGGGGTAATGGGAGGATAAGGACACATATGTAATACCTTAATCAATAAAGAAATTAAAAAATAAGTAAGTAAGTTAATATTTTCTCTATTATGTTTTCTAAGTACTTACATTTAGATACACTTGTTATAGCATCTCACCTTTTTTTCCTTTCTCTTTTTTAAGTGGTAAAATTCTAGAGTCAATTATATAAGAAACTAGAGGCCTGTTGCACGAAAAGATTCGTGCAATAGGCCTTCCCTTCCCCTGGCTGCCGGCACCGGTTTTCCTCCGGCACCCGGGACCCAGGCCTTCGCTCCGGCCGGAGCCGCCTTTAGTTTTCGCTCTGCCACTTCGCGCCTATGTATGCAAATTAGCCACCATCTTTGTTGGTGGTTAATTTGCATATCTCGCCGATTAGCCAATGGGAGGCATAGCGAAGGTATGGTCAATTACCATGTTTGTCTATTCTTAGATAGGATGTTCTTAGCAATATTCATTGTTATTATGATTGAATTCAGGGTACTCTAAGACATTTGAAATTATATCCACAACTTTCCCACCTCAGCTGGGGAATGAGAAAAATCAAGATTTAGAAATATTCTTTGCATATCCAAAATTTCTCTGAAGTTTTTTAGAATTTTAAATAGAGTGCTTCCCATGAATTTTCAAACAGACTAAAGAATGCACGATAAGGCAAAAGTAAGTTTACAGTTGTGAGTACACGAAACAGTTTATTCTTGTATTATTATTATTTATTAATTATTGTACTATTTTTCATACAAACAACTGTAAACCTACTTTTGCCACACCCTGTATATTATTTTGGCTATAACAAATATATCTCATTTTTAAACTTAAAAAAAATTTTTGTTGTTAATTCTCACCCAAGAATATTTTTTCCATTGATTTTCAGAGAATGGAAGGGAGGGGTACAGAGAGAGAGAGAGAGAGAGGAAGAAAGAGAAAGAGAGAAAGAGAAATGTCGATGTGAGAGAAACACATTGATTGACTGTCTCCCACATGTGCCCTGAACAGGACTAGGGATTGAACTTGCAAAACAGGTACATGCTCTTGACCGGAAATCGAACCCGAGACCCTTTGGTGCATGGGCCAACACTCTAACCACTGAACAAAACCAGCCAGGGCCCTTTTTCAATTTTGATAAACCAAAAATTCTGCCACTCTATTATTTTTTAATCTTTTAACTTCTATACATATTTAATAAAGTTAATTTAGTCTGAAATGAAATTACTGTAAATAAGAGAATTTTTTTAAACTTAAAAAAAAGGTTTTTTCCCATAGAAACTGGGGAAACACCATAATAAATAAGAATTCCTTATTAATATAACATTTGGGCTATTAGTAACCATTACCATTCAGAACATGTCAAATATTACATAGAATAAAACTTATATGCTCTGCCAAAATTTGTCACTCACTACACATATTAAACCATTTGAATTTCACGTATTTAGGGCATGTGAACTATAATTCAGTACACATTAAACCAGTGGTTCTCAACCTTCTGGCCCTTTAAATACAGTTCCTCATGTTGTGACCCAACCATAAAATTATTTTCGTTGCTACTTCATAACTGTAATGTTGCTAGTGTTATGAATTGTAATCTAAATATCTGATATGCAGGATGGTCTTAGGCGACCCCTGTGAAAGGGTCGTTCGACTGCCAAAGGGGTCGTGACCCACAGGTTGTGAACCACTGCATTAAACCTATATGCAATCCATAATCATCATAATAATCCCCTACCTTCTCTACCAATCCACCTCTGCTCTTCACTCCCACAATCAGCAACTCCCAAATATCACTCTTTAAAAAAAATGTTTTAATTGATTTTTAAAGAGAGAGACAGACATACATTGATTGGCTGCCTCCCACCGGGGATCAAACCACAACTGGATATATGCCCTGATCAGGGATAGAACCCGTCACCTTTTGGTCCACGAAACAGTACACCAATCAACTGAACCACACCGGCCAGGGCCCAAATATCACTTTTAATACAAATAACAGGAAACTTGAGAACAGACTTTCAGTAAGTCAAAAAAATATTCCAACTTACTGCCCTTTATCAATATTTGAACACGTAATAAACTCTGAAACAAAAAGGTGAGACTTATGAAAGGCTTCTTATGATGAGTATGAAAAGAATTTCTCTTAAGATATGCTCGTATTAGGGGCTACTTCAGTTATTTATAATTATCTTCCATTTATTCCAACTCTAAGGGAGTCTTTACTTCTTTGTAAAACCAGAACATGTTTAGAAAAACATGAATTAAGGAAAATTTAAACGATGACAAGGTCTTAGAATAATAAAATTAAGAAACGTTTATAAATTTCAGGCTTCTTAACATTAACTATATGCTATACACATTGATTAGTCAAACTAGTCAGAAATCTACATACATAGTGAATAGATGACACTAGATTCAAATCAGCAGAGGTTTTTCCCAAGGTCCAACTAAGATGCCTGATTCTCTTCCAGTAGAGGGAGCAAAATCATAAAAATTCCACTCAGGCCACAGAAAGAAGGGCAGGAGGAGGTTTACAAGTACCTTTTAAGTATCTTAAAATCTACCTAGACATTTTAAAAAATGTAATAAAAATACCATTTGAAACAGAACTAAAATCAACCTAAAGGAAAAGATAAAGGTTTTATCTTCTTCAAACACTTCAAGGCTTTGAAATGAGAAAATGGTCCCTAGATACTTAATTTCAAGAACGATGGCTTATTTCATTGTTCACCAAATCTCACAGGTAACCAAGGTATTGAAATACTAAGAATCCTTATTTTTAAAAGATTACAGAAAATGATAAAATATTACATTAAATACATCTTTACAGTATATATAGTCACATGACAAGAACTATAGGAAACAAAGAAAAGTGTATTTCACTACCCTAAAACAATCTATTCCTTCCAATATTTTTTCACATTCTGTGAAAATTAAACAACATATTAAACAGTATATTTTCATACTGTGATAAAAACATTTTATTAAGTACTTACTACATACTAGGCATGCTTCTAAGTACTGTTACATGTTATATCTCTTATAGACCTTACCAAAGCCCTATTAGATCCTATTCTTATTCCTCATTTATACTTTTTATAAGAAGAAGTGAAACACATTGAAATTATATAAATGGCTAAAAGTCACAAGCTACTAAGCAACAGGAGCCAAGATTCTAACCCAAATTGTCTGATACCAGAGCCTACACTTTTTAAAAAATATATATTTTTATTAATTTTATTAATTTCAGAGAGGAAGAGAGAAACATCAATGACGAGAGAGAATCATTGATCGGCTGCCTCCTGCACACCCCCGGGGATTGAGCCTGCAACCTGAGCATGTGCCCTTGACCGGAATCCTCCAACCCGACCTTCAGTCCACAGGCCGATGCTCTATCCACTGAGCCAAACCAGGTAAGGCCAGAGCCTACAATTCTAACATTAACCACTTCACAGTGATTGTAATTTTGAATTATGCTTTTCCCCTGCTATTAACAAATTCTCAGTGTCAGTCTTCAAAGTCATATTTTAATGCCTAATTAAAATCTAATATGGAGATAATAAAACACTATGCTGCCATTAGTTGTTCCTTATAGATTTAGTAAAATAAATTACTTTGTGAACATATTGCTTTTTGCTATGTTTGGATGATTGTAACAAAGTATTTTGATACTCAATTATGCCATCCAATTTCTTTCCAAAATATCTGTATCAATTAACAAAACGATGTAAGTTCCAATTTCACCATAAATTTGCCAACATTTAGCATTAACATTAAATATATTTTTCTAATAGGTGAAAACAAAACCATGCTGCAAACTGAATTATTAAAGGTGCATACTGTTCTGAATGTTGTTTGCTAATTCAATTTCTTCTTTTGTGAATTTCAACTTATATGCTTTATCTAGTTATCAACTTAAAAGTTTGCTTATGGCCCAGCTAGTGTGGCTCAATAGTGAACCACTGACCCATGAACCAAGAGTTTACCGGTTTGATTCCCTGTCAGGGCACATGCCTGGATTGCAGGCTCGATCCCCAGAGGAGGGTGTGCAGGAGGCAGATGATCAATGTCTCTCGCTCATTGATGTTTCTTATCTCTCTCTCCCTTCCTCTCTAAAATCAATAAAAACTATTAAAGTTTGCTTATCAATTCACATGAACTTTTTATAAGAATATTAACCCTGCCAAAACTGGTTTGGCTCAGTGGATAGAGCGTCGGCCTGCGGACTGAGGGGTCCCGGGTTCGATTCCGGTCAAGGGCATGTGCCTGGGTTGCGGGCACCTCCCCAGTGGGAGATGTGCAGGGGGCAGCTGATCGATGTTTCTCTCTCATCGATGTTTCTAACTTTCTATCCCTCTCCCTTCCTCTCTGTAAAAAATCAATAAAATATATTAAAAAAAAGAAAAGAATATTAACCCTATGTTCATCATATGCAATAAAATGTTCCCAATATATTGTTTTCCTTTTTAATGGTTATTACCTTTTTACTTTTTTATAATAAATCCTTTAGTTAAAGGCAATCATAGTTGAAAGTTACAAAAGAGGCCTTAAAACCTTATACTTTTTTAAATGTAAGAGTCCATTGCATTGAGTACATCAATGAAATTATTTTCAAATGTAACTCTGTTAAATAGAAAACTGTCAAAATCTGCATATTCATTTAATAAAACTACTGAGTTTAACCAATTTTGATTATGTCTCATATAAAATTAACGTAAGTAAAAGCCCACCCTTCCCCAAATTACCAAAATAAAAGCTTCATACCTGTCGCTGTAAACATAGGCGATTTCTGTCATGTAAATGCTGATGATTAGAAATTGATGAATGCCAGCTCCGAGCCTGAGAATGAAACTGAGTTTGAGCCACATCAGAAGGCCGTGTCACAAGATGTGAAGTAAAGTGCCGATCAAGGTCATGATCTAAAACATGACTTGAATTATCTTGCCCAAACGCTGACTCATCAAACTGGGGAAGGAGACCCTCCTGAAGGAGGTCTTCTGGATCAAGTCCTGTGAATGGCTCAGTTTGAGACTCCACTTGATGAAGTAAATTCTCTTCTAAAGTTGAAAAGCCATTAGTTTCTACATGATCATTGAAATGGCCCATTTGCGTTCCTGAGTCAACAGGATCCTGGAAGTTCACGTGCACAGGAGATAATTTTGAATTGCTGTAATTACCCTGAGGATGTGTTGAATGCAACATTTGGAAATTACTTGAATTCAGTGATGTATTGGGATTGAGCATATGCTGAGTAGATTCTTGCTTGACTCCCCTATGAGGTGAAAAGGAATTACTTCCAGAGAAATCAGATAAAGTCTGATTTGTATGATTGGGTGCAAGAACTGCAGAGGACTGGAGAAGACTATTTGGTGATACGTGATTACTAGAAAAGGAATAATGTGAAGAAAATTGCTGTGAGTTACTGACAGAACAAGATGTCATATTTGGAGAAGGTCCATTAAAATTTCCTTCTTGCCGGTTGCTACACTTGAGAAAGTGTACTGAAGGATTTGATGTTTGAGAAAACTGTTGCATCAAAAGAGACTGCTGTGAAGTAGATGCATTGGTAATCTGTGGTGGGTGGTTGACACTGACTCTGTGTGGACCAGAAACATTAACATCCATAAAATTTTTAGACTGGCTGACAGAATTTTGCCCTGGGTTAAGATTATTCCTGTTTTGTTGCGAGCGCAGTGAAGTGCACTGTGTGTGTTGTTCATTGGCCTGAAATAAGGCAAAGTCATGGTGTGCCACAAAGCTTTTGTTTTGATGCATAGAGTGAGAATGTCCTTGTTGGTGAAAAGGAGACCCATTTTGATTTGAAATGCTAGTAGCTGTCTGATGGCCCCACATTGGACTGCCATCTGCTACATCTGGAAATAAACCATTGGGTTGGTTTTGGGGGTGGATTGGAGAACAATTAAACTGAGAGTGTGGAGATAACACATGTTCAGCCGGGCTACCAAAAGACTGATTAACCTGATGAAATTTCACTGAATCAAACTGATTTAACTGTTCATAATCAGTCATCTTCTGATGCGTTGGAGTACCTTGAACATGGTTCAATGAGTCTATGTGCAAAGGTTCAAATTCTGCACCCAAGTTCAATTCATCAACTAGTGAAACAGGTCCTGGTTGTACAAATGCATCATCTGACAAACCTTCTAAGGTCTCACTAAAAAGATTGGCATCATCAAAAAAGTCCATCATTGGATCTGTCATCTTGAAAAATTCACTAACAATTTGGGTTATTCGTTCCAAAGGAAGTACCCACTTCTCTGTAGCAGATATTATTGGATCATTTCCAAAAGTCATCAACTAATCCGAGACAGGTCAATGTTCATTACTGCTTTAGGTAACGACATGTCATGAAGTGTCAGAATCCTAGAAAAATAAGAACAAAAGCAATTAAAGTTTAATAATGAGTACTCATTAAAGTTCTATAAAATTCATATAGAACATCATTTATACACATCACCAAATAAAAACATGATTTAAAAACATATAATAAATTATCCCATATAATAAAGATGTAATATGCAAATGGTCATTACACGGTGAAGCATAATGACCGACCACATAACGATTGGATCACAGATCAGCAGGAGGGTGGGGCAGCGAGCTACAAGTGGGCGGTGGAGAGCTATAGGAGGGGGCAGGGCAGCAAGCTATGAGGGGGTGGAGACAGGGGAGGGGGACAGGGGGACCTACAGGAGGGTGGGGCAGTGGGCGGAGAGCTACAGGAGGGCAGTAGTGAACTACTGGCGCACAGATTGTGCAGGGCAACTAGTTGTAATATCATTGACTTTCTTCGTTATTTTTCAGTGTTTATAATCTTTTTCTCAGGCCCTATGAGGGAGGGATGGGGGGAGGGTGGCGGGAGCTACAGGAGGGCGGCAGCGAGCTACTGGCACACGGATTTGTGCGCAGGGCTACTAGTATATTATAAGAGAATGTAAACTTGAGAATGGTATGTCAGACTCTCTCCCAAACCATGAAATGGCCATCATTCCCTAAATATATATGTATTATACTTCAAAGTTATGTCTTTTAAGAAAGCTGACATGAGATCCTCAAATTGATGTTTCTCTCTCAAATCAATTTTTAAAATGTTATAACGTAAAACAAAACCTCTTGATCCTTAATAGATACTACAAAAGTTAAGATTCAAAAGCAATTCTTTTAAGCAATATTTCATTTTTATTATTCTAAGAATGCCCTCACTAAACTGTATACTTTAAAATGTAAATAGTAAATTTTATGTTATATATATTTCACACACGCAAGCACAAGTAACTCAGTTATACAATTTAAAGTTTAATTCCATTGTCTCTCAGTCAAAGAATCCTACTTTCATTGATAATTCATTCTACAAGGGGCCTTAAAAGCATAGCAGTTAAAAGTATAGGCTCTGCAAATATTCTGGTGAGGTTGGAATCCTGGCTTTATCATTGATTCACTATGTAATCTTACACAAATCACTTAATCATTTTGAAGCTCAGTTTTTTCACCTGTGAAATGGAGATTATAATATCTCTCAAAGAATCCTACTTTCATTGATAATTCATTCTACAAGGGGCCTTAAAAGCATAGCAGTTAAAAGTATAGGCTCTGCAAATATTCTGGTGAGGTTGGAATCCTGGCTTTATCATTGATTCACTATGTAATCTTACACAAATCACTTAATCATTTTGAAGCTCAGTTTTTTCACCTGTGAAATGGAGATTATAATAGTACTGTACTGATCTTATAGGGCTTTTGTAAATAATCAATATCAAGCATTGTGTAAACACTGTTTTCAAATTGTGCTTCTTGGATTGCTGGGAAGGAAGAGAGGGCTTTAGACCTCCCCTATCCCCATTTCCTCCCCAATAAAAAAGATTCCAAACATGAGTATTCTTATTTTACAATCTGAGCTTTCACACAGGATTTTTAAAAAGCAAAGGATTCCTTGGCTAAAAGAACTGAAAACATCTAATGCTTATACTATTAACATCCCCCTATGCAGATAACCATTTACTAAATTCAATTACTTACATATTGTTGGCATTCACACTTAATTTAGTTTTACTTTGAATCTAACAGAAAGGAAAATCTTTAAAACACAATGTCATCTCTATTCTTGGTAAAAAAATGTTTGAGGTCAATTAATTTGGGGCTGATACTGAAAACAGATTAGAAGTTTCCTAGTTGCTGAGTCAGGTCCAGTTGTTTAATTGAAATAGTCCTGAACATCATTTATACACATCACCAAATTAAGTATAAATATATATTTGAAAGCAAACTAAATTACAATTAATATGGAAAACAGGAAATTGACTTAAACGCAGAATTTTCCAAAGTTTGAAATATACGAAAAACTGAGACTCAGCTTGATGATCAACCATCTAACTTGCAGGGTTTCGAAATACATTCATGGTTCCTAAACTATAGTTAGATGCTAATTAATGTAGCTTTCCCTCTCTGACTTACCTCTTTTCTGACATCCCAAGAGCCTAGTTATTCGTTCATACCCTCCCATCACTGAGCTTCTCCAGACCTCCTCAGGTTCTTTTGCTAATAATCTCCAATGTTGTCCCCTTCATCTCCTTCAATACCCTTATGATCCTTTCACTCACTCAGCACACCATGCTGTACTATTCACATCACCAATGTCATTTTACCTCCAAGGCCTCAGTCCAATTCAATGAACATTTCCTGAATATTTGTAGTATTTATTCCATCACTGGCACCTTAATACAAGGCTAGTGTTAACCTTTAACTTCAATGTGGTCCTTGCTTTTGTTTAGAAATGGTTATATTCATTTCCCCATGTTTCTGAGCTCTCTTTGCAGTTATTTTGTTTTTTTCTCCCAAAGCCTTCAAGTCTGATTTCCCTATTCTCACCCAAGCACCATTTTGCCTCACTGTCTTCTGTTTTCCAGTTGAAATTCACCAATCACCTTTCAGAACCATGCATCTGTCTTTGTTCTTTGTATCTATACCTTTTCTTCTAGCTATTATCAGAAGATGAAGCATGACTCTCTCCAAAGACAAATCTTTCACCTCTTAATACCATTCCATCGAGACTTCGAATGGATTTATACTCACATATCCCATCTCTCTCAAGGACAATCATCCTCTTGCATTTGCCTGCTTCCCTTCTAACTTTAGACATCAGCAGACCTCCCCTACCTTAACAAAAATGTACAAACAAAACCATTTTATTTCTAGTCTTCCAATCAATGACAAATATTGAAAATAAGTGATCCTCTGCCTCCATTTTCCAAATATCCATTTGCCTGTTTGTTAACCTCTTGCACTTTAGTTTCTGACCCCATAAAATTACTGCAACTATACTTTAGAATATGACCAAAAACCTGGACAATTCTAAATATTCTCTCAATTCCTGTCTTTGACCACTAAGAAACACTTACCATCATTAAGCAAAGCAGAAGCTAAACTCAAATGCTATCTTCTATATGAAGCTTCCAATCGTCCATGCACCCCCACCTCATATACTATTTAGGTTTTGAGAGCTTAAAAGAACAAGGCCTATGACTTAAACTCAGGTACCACCTACCTCTGTGCTTGGTCCATATTAAAGCTGTTTAAATGTTTTCTGAACTCAGTTTTATTAACCACTCTGCCTTCTGGATATTCTCTTAGCTTCTATGACACTACACTGTCTTTGACTTGCTTTCCTATGGCTTTTCCTGCTTATTTAAAACTAGAGGCCTGATGCACGAAATTCATGCAAGGGGCTCGGCCCTCAAAGCTGCGATGGCTTGCCCCGGCTTCATCGGGAAGTTCGTCTAGCTGTCTGGTCTAATTAGCATATTATGCTTTTATTATTGTAGTTTGATAGATACCAATTTCTATGCAGTGATTTCATTTCTATCAAATCCACTTACTTAGCACTTCAAATTCAGTCAAATGTTGACACATCTTCAACATACTACTCTCTAAAATGTGACTTAACATTCAAATCCTTGAGAAACCCAATTCCACTTTTCTATTAATTACTCCTTTATTTTTGTCTTACTACTGGTATAAAATAAAGATATAAAACCCAATTGCCCTCCTGGAAGTTTCTGATCAACAGCATCCACCTAGGAAGATGTCTTTGATGAAGTTATTGATATGCATTTTTTTCGTTCTTCCCAAACCATTCCCCTAAAATAGTGTACTATTCACTCTATTTTTAAAACCACACATTTTTAAGGATCAAGAAAATACAGTGTCTCTTATTTGACTATAACTTTGAGAATACAAAACGTTTTATTAGCCGAAACTGGTTTGGCTCAGTGGATAGAGCGTCGGCCTGCAGACCGAGGGGTCCCGGGTTCGATTCCGGTCAAGGGCATGTACCTGGGTTGCGGGCACATCCCCAGTGGGAGATGTGCAGGAGGCAGCTGATCGATGTTTCTCTCTCATAGATGTTTCTAGCTCTCTATCTCTCTCCCTTCCTCTCTGTAAAAAAATCAATAAAATATATTTTAAAAAAAAACAAAAACAAAAAACAAAACAAAACGTTTTATTATAACCTGCTATAATCCAACAAGCAAAAACAACATTTTTGGACTGAAAATCTTTGTATGTGCTACTGCATATTCCTTTCTATTATGTCTCATCCCTGTAGAAATATGTATCCATCATCAAATATTCTACTTTTAAAATTAAAAATAAGAGCACAAGATTTTTTAAAGATAGTGATCCTATATAATAAAAGTGTAGTACGCAAATTATCCCCTCAACCGGGAGTTGTCCTGGAGTTTGACTAGGGGGTGGGGCTGGCAGGGTAAGGGAGGGAGTACCCAGCTGGCAGCCGGTAGCCACTAGGGACCCTACCAGTGCACAAATTTCATGCACTGGGCCTCTAGTATTTTAATAAAACCACATAACTGAATATGGAGGAACCAGCATTCTCAAACCTGCTAAAAGGGGTGTATATTGGAACAAATTTGGAAATCTATTTGGCATTATTGCTAAAGTTAAACATATGCAAACCTATGGCCAGCTTTTCCACTTGCAGTAAAATATACTCCATAAGATGTGTGCATGTGTGCACCAATTGATAAGTACAGGAAGGTTCATTTTAGTATTCACAATAGCCCAAAACTGAAACCATGTCCATAATACCTTAGAGTTAACAGCAATGAGAATGAATTACTCCTGAATGGAAAAACACATATTAGTATCAGACATAATATAAAGCAAAAGAGCGTATGTAGCTTGATCAGTGTGGCTCAGTGCTGAGTGTTGACTCATGCACCAAGAGGTCATCAGCTCTACTCCTGGTCAGGGCACATGTCCAGATTGTGGGCTCGATCCCTGGTTGGGGTGTGCAGGAGGCAGCCACCTGATGTTTCTCTTTCATGATGTTTCTATCTTTCCCTCGCCTTTCCTCTCTCTCTGAAATCGATAAAAACTTTTTTTTTTTTAAAGAGCATATACATGATGCCATTTACATAAAGTTCAAAAACAGGGAAACTACTCCATGGTTTTAGGAGTTAGCATAATGCTTACCTCTGGAAGGCTGAAAGGGTGTGATAACTGGAAAGGAGTCTGAGGGGGTCCTCTGGGGTGCCAATAACTACAACATTCTATTCCTTGACATGGGTGGCTGTTTCAGAGATGTGTTTACTTTGTAGTATGTCAGATAGCATATTCTTATGATTTATATATGTTTCTGAATGTCCATTATAACTTAAATTTTTAAAAAACTTAACTGGAACAAGATTAAGCATATAAATAAGTAAATATTTATAAATCACCATTTAGAGTATATGTCACTCATAAAAACATTGATAAACAAATAAAGAATGGTCTCTGAAAGTACATAAGTAAACTCTGCATACTACTGATTTCAACACACTTACTAAAGCAAAAGTAATAAGAGTAATCTTATATTTGGATATGCAGTGAATTCATTAAATTATGCAACCTCTGAAACAAAATATTCCCTAATACTAGAAACCTCCGGCAACTGTTTTTCTGTACATTTCTTCATCTGTAAAACAGACTACAATAAGTGCACCAAGTCTATAATCTTACATTCCTAGATTTGTTTTAGGTAAAGCTGCTCAGTTCCAGGAATAGAAGAAAAAATGTTAATGAACAGATATTTAATTGCCTTTTTAAAAACAAACACTGTAAAGATAACATAACTGAAAAATATAGGAATAGACTGAATTCTAGTCCATTAACTGCATAGTGGTGGGGGGAATTTTTAATTTTCTCTAACTGCAATAAAGCACAAAATTTTAAAATAAAACAAATTTTATGCAAGATCTGACACCTAATTATTATTCCAATCATTATTTATTTCATCTTATAAAAGAAACTAACAAGATATGTTAGCAGTTATCTTTCAGCCATTGATTTCCAATAGAAATATACTTTATACTGCTGCTGCTTAATCAGGTAAACTAAACTAAAATGACCACTGGACAACAAAAATAATCTTTTTTTTTTTTTTCAGATTTCAAACCATGTCCCTTTGTTACAATAACAATGTTTTAAAAGGTTGGTCTAAAAAAAGTCTTTAAGTATAATTTTTTAAAACCCTTAATAGTTAACTTCAGCCAATAATGCCAAATTATAACAAACATCGTTAGTTGTAGCTAACTGATAAATAATAGCTACTAATGAACTGAGCTATAATTTTCACTCATAAGCATCAGAAGTCTCATTAAAAATGATAAATTTGCCGAAACCGGTTTGGCTCAGTGGGTAGAGTGTCGGCCTGTGGACTGAAAGGTCCCAGGTTCGATTCCAGTCAAGGGCATGTACCTGGGTTGCGGGCACATCCCCAGTGGGGAATGTGCAGGAGGCGGCTGATCGATGTTTCTGACTCTCTAGCTCTCTCCCTTCCTCTCTGTAAAAAATCAATAAAATATATTTTTAAAAAAATGATAAATTTAATATCAGGCTGCCTATAAGCTGATGACTTTAAACGGTGCTACTTTCCTGAGAACATCAAGACTTTTTGTATTCTGCATTATCACCCAAATAATATGCAAACCCATCTAATACTACTTTCAAGTTAATTTTTACTCAAACCTTCATGCCTGATAATAATCTATATTAATATTCACAAACTTTCAAAAACAGAAATGCATTGTTAAAAGGTAACATCATTTCAGTTATCAATTATTCTAACATAAATAAGAAGCTTGCTTCTTCCTCTCAAAACACACACACTATGAATGTGACAGTATGGTATCATACATATAGCTAAACTTAACCTGGGGCACCTATCACTCAGATAAAGGCAGTCCCCACTTTCAGAAGAACTTGTCTGGGAATGGTGTTCAAAACTTCCTTTCTTGCCAAACCTTATTTTCCCTTTTCTTCATCTCAGTAAATCTCATCACCATCTATCTAGTTCCTCAAGCCAGGAACTTGAAGGTCATTTTTGACACCTTTCCTTTAACGTCCAATCCATCATGAAGCTGTCATTTCCCTACCATTTCTATCTCCTCTTTCTCTCTATAACAAATCAAATTACACTTATACATACTTACGCACGTAACCCTTTCCTTCATCTCTGCATATGCAACTCCTAGTTCAAGCTAGCACCAAGTCTTACTTCAGTAATTGTAGTAGTACAATGTCATTGCTTTTGCTCTTCCTTTTCCCAATCCATTCTCAAAGTGAAACCTTTAAAATTCAAATTAAAGCATATTACTCTTTTGATTGCAATGCCCTTAGTAAAACCAAAACATGTCCTGCAGTGCCCTGTATGGTCCATTCTCTGCTTATCTCATGACATCTTCCATGGTTTTCCTCTATTATTATGTTCCTCCTACCCTGAACTTCTATCATTTCTTCCAACATTAACAAGCTTTTCTTGTTTTCATACATATTTTTCTCTTTGAGAAAACTCTCCCTGTCTGGCTTCTTCTTCACGTGACATAAATAGCACCACCTGACAGAGGCCTTTTTCGTGACCACAGAATCTAAAATCCTGCCCATTTTCTCTCATGGCACCCTATTCTCTTCCTTTATTGAATCACACAAGTTGTAATTTTACACTTTTTTAAAAATCCTCACCCGAGGATATTTTGCCATTGATTTTTAGATAGTGGAAGGGAAGGAAGAGGGAGATAGAGAGAAACACCAATGTGGGAGAGACACATCAATTGGTTGTCTCCTGGGTGGGGAAAGACCCTGCAGCTGACCAAAATGGTACGTGCCCTTGACCGAAATGGACCCATGACCCTTTAGTGCCAGGGCCGACGATGCTCTAACCACTGAATCAAACTGGCCAGGGCTACCTTAATTTACTTGTTCATTATATATTTCCACCATTACCCTGTAGATTCTACACAGGTAGGGTTCACTTAAAATAAATGTTACATTATATAATAGTAAATTGATTAATAAAGGGACCACTTAATAAGTCTTTTTAATGAATGGATGTGAATGACCTGGAGTTCAGAGAACAAATTATAGCTGAAAGTAGCTTCCCCTCCTCTAAGTCTCCTATTTGTCACTTGATCAGCTTTTTAAGGGAGCGAAAACTTTAAAAGCCAAAGATTGGCATCTGAAGAGATATATGGACACTGGGGAGATAAAGTAATTTTTATTATAACCTTTTACAGCAATACAATAGAGGGAATGTCAGAAAGTTGTACATGTCAAATAAATGAGACAAATAATATGCTATAATCTCATGGGAAGGAGAAATCCTATGGATTACAATGACAAGAGATGATTTTATTTATAAAGTAAGAATTTGACCTGAGTATTCCCAGGTGAGGTGAAATGTAGGAGAGTGAAGTCCAAACAAGAAAGTAAACAGAAATACAAAGTGTTAGATAATAACTCTAAATCTGGAATGTGACAACTTGCATTTACAAAGTAAAAAATCTATCAAGAAATCTGTATTGTGTTAAGACATGTTAATCATGTTAAGACCACAACAGCTACAAAACATTTAAAAGGTTGCAATACAATCATTCTATCTCCCCAGTGTTCATAAATCTCTTTGGATTTCAATCTCTGGCTTTTAAAGTTTTTCAAACATTTATGACAATATGCTCTAATAAATTAGTTTTCATAATTCATGTTCACTCTGGCCATGTCAAGTTTCCACATTCTTACCTATGTTCTTTATTCTCTACACTGATACCTGATGAAATACTCCCAGTAGATCTATTAATTTCAGTCATATTTTTCCTTTATAGAGTCTGACCTCTCCAGGATTTCACCTTTTCTTCTCTGTCAAAGTATTTAGTTGACTACTTCTTCTATTACATTTACATCAGTGATTAATTAACACATCTAACCCTTTAGAAAATCTAAAGTGTTCACATGTGCCAAAGTTTTTATTTCACAACAGATAGAAGCTTTAATAGATTCTTCTAAATCTGTAATGCCATTTCAGTGTATACATTAAGCCCCTCCCTCCAGTTCTATCTGTTTCCATAGGTGAAGTGCCAAAGTCTAGTTCATGCCTTATACAAGGCATTCAGTTACCTTAGACAGGGGGTTTGGATTTTAAAGTTTCTAAAGATACTTAAGATTTCATTCATCTCATCTTGTCATGGGCTTTTTCCTCTGACAACACTGTTTTTTGTCTTTACTCCTACCTGCTGACTTGTGATTCTTTTTAAAATGTTCTTTTCAGGTAAAGCCAACTACATATACTATTTGTTTCAAAACCTCTGCCTTTTCTTACACTTCAATCCAAATGTGATTTTCGTATTTCACAGGGCTGATGTCATGGAATACTTAGAATCAGAGAATTGCAAAACTGGAGGAAAACTAAGGTTCACAGAGGTTAAGAAACTTGACTACAGCTGCAGTGTGGGGGCTGAGGGTGCACCACCCTGGTATGCACATTATTTAGAGCTGAAAACAAACCCAACACATTCAGGTAAGAGTTTTTACTTCCTCCTTTCTTTCTTGTAAGAGTCAGACAGAAAAACCTCCAGGAAGGGAACCTTAACGTAAAGCCCTTAGCATATTCACTTTAGCACCTATGAATGAAGTAGATAGGAAGGAGGCACACCAAAATCTGTTCACTGGATTCCCCTCTGTCCCATTGTCTTGAGTTGCCTAGAAAGAATGTGTTTGCCACTTTCCGGGCTACCTGTGAATTGCCCATTTCCTCTTTGAAATTCCCAGCCGCTTCCCCCCTTTCTCCTTTGTCCAAAATGACTACCCATCTTAGTTGCCTGTCTTTGGAAACATTCATGCTTATGTGACTTTCTCAGGGGCTCTTACTCACACCTGATTTTCTGATGTTAACCTGCTGTCTTTGGTTTGAATTATTTGACCAGCCACAAGAACTCAAGGGGGTAAGGGGAAAGTTTCCCCAGCCCGGACAAAAGCTCGTCAAGTGACAAAGTCCTGATTCTCTCCAATCTGCACTCCTTCCAAGCCAAGAAGGCTTGACTGGTTACACCAGCAGTGTTCCTCCCCCCAATGCTATTTTTCCTCGGCCCTTAGGACAACATCTTTTTCTAGTTAATCAATCACAAGGTGTTTTTTTTGTTTGTTTGTTTTACTCTACCAACAGCCACTCCCCTAAAACTTTTCAAGAACGACAAAATTACCAGAATCAAATCTGGGAAGCTACCCCCCCCTCCCCCGCCCCAGCATCACTTGTCGATATCACATGGTCTGTGTTTTATAGGAAACGTCCCAAAACTAAGACTCACCAATACTTTGTAGTCCACTATATAGCAATTTAATGTGAAGTGTCAAAGCCATAGAAGCAGGAAAAAAAAAAAAAAAGTCTTGGAAGACAGAAACACAGGCTTAACTTGCTTGGAGCAATAGGTATTTCTCATTCAACAAATATTTATCAGTGATCCATCCCATGGAAGGCGCCTCCTGCTTGCTATTAGCAAAAAGTCCCATTTAAATTCAAGTTCTGCAAATCCAACATAAGAGAAACAGTATGTTCAGCCTTCTGTGTCGCAAACACACACACACACACACACACAGCCCTCCCTCCGCAATGTGGAATCCTCCTGAAGTTCACCTTCTACACATTCATGTTTGCAGAACTAGTGGTTCTTTTGAAAAATACTCCCAACAACCACGCATAACTCTAAATCTGGAATGTGACAACTTGCATTTACAAAGTAAAAAATCTATCAAGTAAGAAATCTGTATTGTGTTAAGACATGTTAATCATGTTAAGACCACAACAGCTACAAAACATTTAAAAGGTTGCAATACAATCATTCTATCTCCCCAGTGTTCATAAATCTCTTTGGATTTCAATCTCTGGCTTTTAAAGTTTTTCAAACATTTATGACAATATGCTCTAATAAATTAGTTTTCATAATTCATGTTCACTCTGGCCATGTCCAGTTTCCACATTCTTACCTATGTTCTTTATTCTCTACACTGATACCTGATGAAATACTCCCAGTAGATCTATTAATTTCAGTCATATTTTTCCTTTATAGAGTCTGACCTCTCCAGGATTTCACCTTTTCTTCTCTGTCAAAGTATTTAGTTGACTACTTCTTCTATTACATTTACATCAGTGATTAATTAACACATCTAACCCTTTAGAAAATCTAAAGTGTTCACATGTGCCAAAGTTTTTATTTCACAACAGATAGAAGCTTTAATAGATTCTTCTAAATCTGTAATGCCATTTCAGTGTATACATTAAGCCTCTCCCTTCAGTTCTATCTGTTTCCATAGGTGAAGTGCCAAAGTCTAGTTCATGCCTTATACAAGGCATTCAGTTACCTTAGACAGGGGGTTTGGATTTTAAAGTTTCTAAAGATACTTAAGATTTCATTCATCTCATCTTGTCATGGGCTTTTTCCTCTGACAACACTGTTTTCTGTCTTTACTCCTACCTGCTGACTTGTGATTCTTTTTAAAATGTTCTTTTCAGGTAAAGCCAACTACATATACTATTTGTTTCAAAACTTCTGCCTTTTCTTACACTTCAATCCAAATGTAATTTTCGTATTTCACAGGGCTGATGTCATGGAATACTTAGAATCAGAGAATTGCAAAACTGGAGGAAAACTAAGGTTCACAGAGGTTAAGAAACTTGACTACAGCTGCAGTGTGGGGGCTGAGGGTGCACCACCCTGGTATGCACATTATTTAGAGCTGAAAACAAACCCAACACATTCAGGTAAGAGTTTTTACTTCCTCCTTTCTTTCTTGTAAGAGTCAGACAGAAAAACCTCCAGGAAGGGAACCTTAACGTAAAGCCCTTAGCATATTCACTTTAGCACCTATGAATGAAGTAGATAGGAAGGAGGCACACCAAAATCTGTTCACTGGATTCCCCTCTGTCCCATTGTCTTGAGTTGCCTAGAAAGAATGTGTTTGCCACTTTCCGGGCTACCTGTGAATTGCCCATTTCCTCTTTGAAATTCCCAGCCGCTTCCCCCCTTTCTCCTTTGTCCAAAATGACTACCCATCTTAGTTGCCTCACTGTCTTTGGAAACATTCATGCTTATGTGACTTTCTCAGGGGCTCTTACTCACACCTGATTTTCTGATGTTAACCTGCTGTCTTTGGTTTGAATTATTTGACCAGCCACAAGAACTCAAGGGGGTAAGGGGAAAGTTTCCCCAGCCCGGACAAAAGCTCGTCAAGTGACAAAGTCCTGATTCTCTCCAATCTGCACTCCTTCCAAGCCAAGAAGGCTTGACTGGTTACACCAGCAGTGTTCCTCCCCCCAATGCTATTTTTCCTCGGCCCTTAGGACAACATCTTTTTCTAGTTAATCAATCACAAGGTGTTTTTTTTGTTTGTTTGTTTTACTCTACCAACAGCCACTCCCCTAAAACTTTTCAAGAACGACAAAATTACCAGAATCAAATCTGGGAAGCTACCCCCCCTCCCCCGCCCCAGCATCACTTGTCGATATCACATGGTCTGTGTTTTATAGGAAACGTCCCAAAACTAAGACTCACCAATACTTTGTAGTCCACTATATAGCAATTTAATGTGAAGTGTCAAAGCCATAGAAGCAGGAAAAAAAAAAAAAAAGTCTTGGAAGACAGAAACACAGGCTTAACTTGCTTGGAGCAATAGGTATTTCTCATTCAACAAATATTTATCAGTGATCCATCCCATGGAAGGCGCCTCCTGCTTGCTATTAGCAAAAAGTCCCATTTAAATTCAAGTTCTGCAAATCCAACATAAGAGAAACAGTATGTTCAGCCTTCTGTGTCGCAAACACACACACACACACACACAGCCCTCCCTCCGCAATGTGGAATCCTCCTGAAGTTCACCTTCTACACATTCATGTTTGCAGAACTAGTGGTTCTTTTGAAAAATACTCCCAACAACCACGCACAGCGTTGAGTAACATCATACAAGACAAACCCTCTTTCCTATGCAAGATCATAGCTGCTTAGGCAGAACTGGCGACCTGAAATCGGGAGAAAAAGGTGGAAAGTGGCATGCAAAACTTGGAAAAACTAAATCTGTGACCGTGATTTTTATTAAAGATAAACTTTATTCCATGGGGGGGAGGGGGGAGATAAAAGTCACATGAGTGTCAAATCCCAGACTTCCAAGGAAGTAACTGTGTAACATGTTCAATATCAACAATTTTTTTTAAAAAAAAAGTTCTTGTGTACTTTGTTCTGAAAAGTTTTATTTTTCTCTAAAAGGGAAAAAAAAAAAAAGGCAAAACAAAACCGAAAAAAAAAAAGGAACAGACACCACTGAGCTGGCGACGGCGACGTGCCCGCTAGACACCCGGGCGCTCCGGGTCGTGCGCGGCTCCGGG